CTCAAGAACTAACAAACAAGCAGCTTAATTTCTGTCTCTGAAGACATTAGGAACCACGTATAATGGAGATGAAGGAGGAAAAATTCCTGCCTTGGAAGTCAGTCAGGTGGTACGAGCTTTAGGAAAAGCATACAAGTATTTTAAGGCAAATATTTCTGTGCCTCAGCCACAGCTTCCGTTCCTGTTGGCCAGTGTGACTTGAAAGGATCCAAAATGAACCCGGTTGATTTAAAGATTGAGGCAAAGACACACTATAGACCAATTTGAGAATGGCATCAGGGTTTGCAACCACTGCAGAAATACATTGCATGCTTAAGGCACAATTTTAGTGTTCTCACAAAAACTTTCTATTGCAAATTGCACTTTGTCACAGAAATTTTTAAAATGAGATTTCTTACCATTAAAATAAAGAAATAGAAAACCCACATCCATCCCAGGTTCTCCTGGATCAAAGACACGAGATACTAAAAAGAAAGAGGAAAAAAAACCATTCAAACTGGGAAACATAAGCATGACTTTCAGGCATTACTGTTTCATTTTTTAGAATTTGTGGGCTGTTAACACTCCACACAGAGCTGATCACAAAACCTTCCAGTTGATCTTTTCCTGTCAGAGGAGATGACTCAGGACAGCAGCCTTTCTGTGCAAACCCCACAGCCTCAGCAAAGCGGTGGTACCATCCTGAAGTCTTACAGTAGCTCCGAGCAGCATAAAGCCAGAACTGAACTACAGTTTCAAAGGGTGTCAAATTGACTCCGCTGAATACAAGGGTTTTGCGCAGAAGTCTGGGACATAAGTGGATGTAAGTGCTCTCAGAAGAACTAAAAGCTCCAGAATGGCTTATAAATTACACAGGACACATTTTCAAGAGCTGTGCAACCACTGGCTACTTAACCCTTCGTCGCAGGCAAGGCACTTGAGACTACAGCCTGCTCTGAACTGCATCCCAGTTCAATAGGACTGTGCAGGCTACAAAAGAAAATGTATTCCCTATTAGCAGATTTATATTCAGATGCTGTTCAAGGGCCTCCCTTCTTCACCACTGGGTGTATTAGCACAAAACAGGATCTGAATTTCTAACATGCTCATTGTGCATTTGCTGTTATTCGCACACCCCCAGAATGATGTCATGGTTGTCTCTGCTGAAATAAATGCAACATTAGAATGGGAGGCAGGTGGAATTTTTCAGCACTAAAGACCCAATTTTGGTGGTGATGTAAGTTTGAATGGTATGTGTGGGGGAAGACAGAAACACTGCAGACGATGCAAGAACATCAAGCATCACAGTGCACTTTAAGATGTCCACAAAACACTTGTAATTTCCCATGTTTAATGGAGCTAAGCACCGTATTTCCTACAAAACAGAGACTAAATGATTGTATTTATCAGGCAATCAATGGCAAGTACAAACCTAAATCCCTTTCTAGAAAAGAAACTTGTATGCCTTGCGTGCTTCTTGGTATTTTAGAGCACTAGAGCGCATTGAACTGGCTCCAATATTTCTACTAAATCTTCCCCTCCCAAAGCACCACGGTGTTCGTCCACATAGTTAACATTTGTATTTTAGAAGGAAGAATGTCCCCAGTGGGCACACTGTCAGCTTCTTTTTCAGCAGCAGTCAAGCCTTCAGACCTCTGGCAGCATACTGTAAGGCCTATCAAAGCAAGTGGTGCTGGATTTAAAAGGTGTAAAAGATAGCCATAGATAAAAAGGGGAACAACAAATAAGAACCAATTTTATGTTACTTTATAAACAGTGTAACATTCACAAAAGGTATTCTAATTTTACTTGGTTTTCTGTAAGCAAAGGTTTTGCTATTGCCTTTGAACAAAAAATCCAAAACAAACTTCAAAAGATTTTATTTTCAGTCTTTGGGAAGCTGATCTTTACTTGCTTTTTGGAGTTCAGGACATGAAAGTCTCTAAAATTCATTTGAATAATGAAAGCACCATAACATCAGCACTATGAATATTTAGTTATTAAGTCTTAATTAAGTTGCTTCCACTGGAAGCTTAAATCACACAAGTTTCCTTGGTTCTTTCTTAACTAAATAATTATTAAACAAAACCACCCAAAACTCCACCCTCTCTTATTCTCTCAATGCAACTTTGGATTTAGGCGTGACCAACTATCTCTAACCACCAGACTCTTTGCCTCCTCCTTCCCCAGACCTCTATCTTCCTTTGGCAGCCTCACCTGGCCCACTGCAGCACCAATGCTGCCAGTTCCATCCACAATCCCCGTAACTGTTGCCAGAGCCTCACTGCTGCCTTTCACCAGATCCTGGCGTCCCAGGTCAGCAGAAATTGCAGAGCTGATCATGTTAGAAGGGCCTCCAATGAAAAATCCTGCAAGTGCCAAGAAAACAGACTTGGTGCAAAACAAGCATGGGGGTAGATTCTCAACAGAACAACTTCAAAACAGATTTTGTACCACACAAAGCTCAGGAAAAGGATTAAGTCTAGGGACAGTGATCACAGAATAACTGTAGGTAGAAGTGTACCCTCACAGCTGAAGCATACAGTCACGGCACACCTTGTGTACCTGGAGTACACACACACAGAAATTGCCAACAAGCACATTTTCAGTCAACAGCAAAACCGAAGTAGTTGGCTATGGCACAGTCTGCAACAGTCAGGACTGAATACAGAAAACTATTTTTGAGCAGCACTCATGTACAAACCCTCAACATGAAGCAGACTTAGACACATTTCTACTTCAGAGTATTATACCCCCATGCTTCTGCCTCAGTCTCCAGGGACTGGTGAAGGAGACGGATGGGGAAAAAATGGAAGAGGACAGAATTCTGAAGTAAAAGCGTTTGAAAAGAAAGGCTCTTTTCTTGCAGGCTGATCTTAATGCCATAACACAGCACAGTGTGTCCGGTAGCACACAGTTTGTGACCTCTCACAGTACACAGGGCGTTTGGGGTTCTGACAAACATGCTCAAATTTGAGCTGCAGCTCATGACTTTGCCACATAGACACTCCCTCAGATACCAGATCACTGCTAGGTATTTTGTCATAAACCTGTCCTCATCATACTGAGCCAAGGCAGACTCCTTTAGTTCCAAGCCATTATTCTATACAGTCTGTATTCTCTATCTCCCTCTGCAAGGCAGTCTTCCTACAGCTGTGTCCCAAAAGTAACAGAAATTGGGCCTCAGCTTTTACTCCTGCTGCAAACCCAGCAGAGATGGGAGCACACACAGAAACATTGCCACCACCTGAGGCTGGTGTGACTGCTTTTTCTGCAATGTACATATATGGCTACTAGAATAACAGTGGCATTTGATAAGATACCTGTAATTGCCATGATCACAGCATTGATAGGTTTGCTGTTTGGAGAACCTGCAAGAGAAAGACCAGATGAATGGAAATAAAACAAATGAACTTGAGAAAGCCACTTATTTAACATCAGAAAGAAGCATGCAAACATCCAGTTTGAACTGTCTGTTCAGTTACCTACACAGTAACAATAACTTCTCTTGGCTAGAGACTTGTACAGAGATTAGTCCTACTGCAAAGGCACTTAGTGACTAAAGACCCAAAAGTTTCCCAACAGCACTTTGCAGTAGAAAAGTCACCTTTGCCATTAAAATTTTGGACCCTATTTCAGTATCAGATTTGCCTGTCTCAGGGCTTCCACTCATTCTGAATTTTCCAAAATCTTTTTTGAAATACAGAGATTTGATCTGGAGATAGTAATCCAGCAACTGCCTAAACAATGCTGCAAATAAAGCAAGAAAATGCAAAACCCCATATCCCAATTTCTCCTTACAAACCTATGTTTGAGCATCTAGAGGTTCCACTTGTCTTTTCAGAAACAGCATCATACTATGTACATGCAGCTGGTCCTCCACGACAGTCCCTCAGTGCTTTTCAGACACTTTTCCCTGACATCTCACTTCCAAGCAGCACCTGAATTCCTTACTCACTACTTCAACTTTGAGCCCACGCACAGTCAAGTTACCATGCGTAAGGCAAGTTGCAGCCCTCTTCACATATTCTTAGGTCGTTATTACTCTTGCATGCAACACACTACATGCATAAAAAGGTTTCCCGGTTTGGCTGACAGAAATTTAATTAACAGTAAGTTTGTATCTTCTGTCTGAGCCTTCTGTATCTGGCTGGACAGAAGTGCATGTTGAGTTAAGCACAAGACACTTGGACCTCTCACTGCTCTGCTATCTAGTACTAACTTCATACAATAATTTTACATTTTTTCCCAATTCACTTGAAAGTAACGAGTTAGCACAAGAGCCTACAAAACTCCATTGAACTCCACCAAATGCTATTTAATGATTATACCTTACGGACCTTACTTTGAGACCAAGTAAACCAGCATGGTTCCAAAAGGCACGCTTTACTTTTAAAGTCCAGCTCTGGCAGTGACTTGTGTCCACAGATCTCAAAGTGCTCTATAAAAGCCCGTCTGTATCGCCACCCCATTTTGGAGGAAGACACAGAGAACTGAAGTGACACCCCAGTGAGTTAAAGCTGTATCTATTATAAGAGAGGCAGAAACTCTTCAATTCCATCACTTACAGAAGCATAAGTGGTGAAGTCTAAGAGCTTCTGCCTCTTTGTGGGGACTGTGTGTGTATATAT